TATGTCTGCATATCAATTGTAGCCCAAACTTGTACGTTAATCAACCTCGACAAGGGTACTTTTGCAGCAGCTTGCAAATAGTGGTGCCGTGCGGGCCAGGGGACAGCCGCGAACTATCAAAATCGGAGTGTCGCCTTTCTGATGGTGCGATTATCCTGCTCGACGTCCTCAACAAAGGCGATAGCATTTTGTAGTTTATGAATTTTTCCCGTGAGCGCGAGGGTTTTGTGTTTGAACTCGTAAGAAAATGAAGTCGCAATCATATGCCCTGTCAACTTGTCCGATTTCTCACTCTTCAAAATATCCCGTGCACTATAAGGAAGTTTTAGAATAACGTGGGTAAGCGCTTTGGGTAACCTAAAAATAACGTCGCGATTATAAAACCTAATAGCGAGTTCGTTTCACGGCACTCGTGTCCACGCGTGCCCACTCGAGGCGTAAAGCGAGTTCGTTTCGGCGGCCACTCCACGAGTAGTTGCACTCTCCGAGTTTGTTTCAGCGGCGGCACCCCACGCGTGCATGCACTCGCTGCAGCGAGAAAATCGGGCGTGCGCCAAAATGCAATCCCGTCATGCCTCGCGCCGGCGAGGAGCGGGAGCAGACGACGAGGGTTCGTCTGCTACGATGTGTCGCGGAACTGAAAAGAAAAAAAGTAGATTTTCTGATAGAAATCGTGTCCCGCAGGCCACGGAATCAAATGCGAGCTTGAATTGTGAGCGTATGCTATTTCATGAAGGAAGCGATTGACAACCCGTGCTTCATTTGTAGGTTTTTTAAGTCGCTCTGTTGCCGTACAGACGCTGAACTATTGTGTGTCAAGAAAAGCTCTAAACAAACGCACCAGCGGCCCCCGAGATGTTTATCAACATCCGTGTGCGGATGAAAAATTGAACATTTGTCGACAAAACTCCCTCAGCAGAAACCTCTGACTGCCAAATAAGCACCAGAGAAAGCTAAACATAGTGACTTTACCCGAGGCTTGGGCAACATCCCCATGTTTAACATTTACCTACGTCAGCTAACTTGCCCCGTCGTATTTTGTTCGACAAATCTCTTGTTCTCGACGTCCTCACCAGGGCTAATACTTGATCCACTTGTAATGACGATCGAAATCGAAAGTCCCACGAAAAGTTTTGCTGGATATTCCAACAGACTAGTTTTGAGCCGTACGTACCCTTTCATTGGTTCACGCATAATACCATGCTCAAACGGATCAAGCTTCTGCTCGGACAGCATTATCAGTTTTCTACAGTGTAAACGGTTATAAGAATTTAAAGATCGCAACCAGCTGCTTTGTAGACAGCTGGGTGCGGAAATTTACGCCGTCTGTAACTATCTGACAGCCGAGTTGCTTGAAGTCATCGCAACTAAAACTACAGGTTGCATCGTTCAACGTTTGTAGATAAACGTTGGTAGTGACTGCACTCTCGCATTCCTACCCATCACTCCGAACAGAAAAGCGCTAATTTCGGTTTGAGGTCGGTACCTTTTCTACAACATAGATGCCGGCAGCATCAGTCTTCTGCACTCGGTGCATTTGGCGAGTTCGTTTGAGTCCAGTTCTCCGTGCAACACTGCGAGTGCGATGCATTCTGGGAGAGAACTCGAACGGTGCCAGTGCGTGTGAAACGAACTCGCTATAAGACAACGCTAATTTTTGTTTACTCAAAGTGCTTGAGCGCGACACTGTTAGCGCGAACAAGCGATTGTAGTTTTTCGCAGTTTGTCTCAAAGAATGAAATGACTGCCATCAATATTATTAGTGTCATTGAAAGTGCTCATCTGGGCCACTAAGCTAAGCGGTATACAATTTGGTGCCTTCTAACACCATTTCGAAGTAACATTTAAAAAATCGTCACCATCGTGTTCGCGGTAACGTTGTCGCGTTTCGTAGTCCCACATTTTGGGGACCATCTTGACAGAAACATTTCAAGTGGTTCAAGCAGAAATATCTTTCGTTGGAGCTTGTCTGAAAGTGATGTATATATTAAGAATACGTTGACAATAAAAACTAGTTCACAACATAACTAAATAGCTCGCCGGCACCTTTGCTTTAATTGCATTAACAAACTTTTGGCACTATTTTTAAGGAGAAAATGTGAGCAAACCAGGGTTAGAACGATGGAGACTTTTCGCGGAGAGGGTGAGATGTACGGGGCTAGACGGGACGGGCGCAAGCGTAAAGGTGTTTCGGGAACGGATTGAAAAGGGACAGGTTCAAATGGTAAGGGCGATTCGGGAATTCTCCAGTATGAGCCTCAGCCGGTACACGAAAGCAGTCTTCCGGAGCTTTTCGGAGCGCTTGTCACGGTGACCCCTCTGTGTGTGCCGCCGTGTGGATTTTCTGCTAGTCGCCCCATTTTTGAGCAACTGCTGTTCTTGCGAAAATGGGTGTGTGGTGCAAAGCGCTATTCCTCCGATCCTATGAACACCAGGCATCGGACGGCGTCCCATCCCATTCACCTTTTTATACGCCCCTATCTATGACATCACGTAGTCAGTAAACATGTGAGTAGTGTTCCAAAACGAGTATTTTTTTTTCTGAAAAGAACCGCCGTGTTTAAATAAATTAGTAAGCTAAAAAAAACTTCCAAATGGGGGCGCAGCGGCGCAACCCTTTTGTTGGCTCCCTGGGCGACCTTCCGGGACGCCTACCCCCGGTCCTGGTCTAAAGTCCAGGATATCGAAAAAATAAGACGTTCTTTTTTTCTTTGGGGCTAATTTGAAAGAGGAACTATTTTCTGCGGTGGCGGTCGTCACGAACGTTTACAATTAGGGTCGATACGTCCTTATCAGTGTTCCAATTTCTTTTTCTTTTTTTAGTAACTGTCGCTAAGCCCAGTTTGCACGCTTAATCACGATCAGAATGTGTCGTTAGACTACTGTTGTCCTTATTGATTTGTGTTCCCTACACCGCGGCTTCGACTTATCATGAATAGATCTATCCTTTTTGTCACCCATAAGAGCGTTGCCTCTTTTACTATTAATTACACTAAACTCGGTCCTAAAATTTCTCCACCAGATAACCCTAGTTATATTGTCCTTGTAATTTTTTATCAATTTATTCGTGTGCGGACCGCTTCGTGACACACCTTTAATATGCCTGCTTTAAGTGCGCTCGAAACTGGGTTTTAAGGGCTTTCAGAACAAACTCATGAAATAATCGAGAAATCGGCTCGCAACCTCCACTCTGCGCGTGCCCAAGAGCGTGCACTGGTTCGCCGAGTTTCTAAAAGACTTAAATCGGAGAGCCTTTTGGCACCATTCCCAAGAAGGGGTATACTGTAATTTAATGCATTATACCCCATTTCCTTGGGAGTACCTATAAATACTTCCAATGAGTGTATCCCTTCAAATGGAGAAAAAAAATTTAGACACGCGGTTACTTCTTTGTTTAAACCAGCGTTTTATTCAACCAAGTTTATTGCTGAGCCCTCATGGTCGTGCAAAAAATTACTAAATAATTTGCGAAAAAAAGAGAAAATAAAAAGAGCACAGTCAATAAAACCAGTTTTCAAAATAATAAACATAAGCAACAAATCTTACAAACTAATAGCACACAAAGAAATGACTTTCTTAACATTGCTGCTATTGAAAGAGCTTAGTTATTTTATAAGTTCGTATATTTATGGTCATGAGTAGGCCGACTTGTAAGGTACAGTGCTAATCACACTTGTCTATAACGCGCGGGCGTGCAGCTTTCTCCGGGGAGCGCTAGCCTGGCGGCATTCGCGGAAACTAAGCTAGTCACGTGGCGCAACATGGAACGGCCCGCTCGAGGGGTGTTCTGCCCACTCTATCAGCTGGCGGCGAACGCGGAAGGCTGCTCGCACGCTTTTTACAAACATCATTACTCGAACAATAAACAGACTAAAGCATGATGGCGTATCAACGATGTCGTCATCAAAAAACAAAAATATATCATAAAGCACTTTATTTTTATCGCTTATCAAGCTGATAGAGTGGGCAGGACACCCCTCGAGCGGGCCGTTCCATGTTGCGCCACGTGACTAGCTTAGTTTCCGCCAATGCCACCAGCCCAGCGCTCCCCGGAGAAAGCCGCTCGCTCGCGCGTTATAAACAAGTGTGATTAGCACTGTACATAAGTGACCTTACAGACAACACAGAAACTTCAGGTGCATCACGTGATTAATGACTCTAAATGAATAAAAAAAGATAAGGCTTCAAATATTTTCTTTTTTTCGTGTACAAAAAAGTGAAAGCCGTTTGCAACTCCCTGTAATGCCGAATTGGAGGGCAGCTCTTGAGGAGGAGGAGGGAAGGCTACTGAGGGCCACGTGTTCTCGAAGGGGGGGTCAGGTGACCCCCCCCGAGGTCACGTGACCTCGGGGTGTCACGTGACTCCCCAGGTCACGTGACCCCCCCCGGTCACGTGACCAAAATTTCCCCGCTAGATTCAGCGGGGAAATTTTTTCCGCTAGATTTAGCGGGGAAATTTTTCCGCTAGATTTAGCGGGGAAATTGTTTCCGCTAGATCTAGCGGGGCAAATTTTCCGCTAGACCTAGCGGGAAATTTTTCCGCTGAATTTAGCGGGGAAATTGTTCCGCTAGATTTAGCGGGGAAAGTTTTCCGCTAGATTTAGCGGGGAAAATTTTCCGTTAAATTTAGCGGTGAAATGTTTCCGCTAGATTTAGTGGGGAAATTTTCCCGCCAGATTCAGCGGGGAAATTTACCCATAATGCACCGCGCGGTTACGCCGACGGCGACGGCGACGGCGACGCCGCTCTGGCCGGAAACGGGCGCCTAAGAGCTGCGCTCTAAAAAGACCTCTGGTCGCTTCGTCTAAGGTAAATTCACATTTTTTTTATCTGTGTTTACGCGATAAATAACAGGCTGAAACATTTTGAACCATGCAAAACACACACTGCTCGCAAGTAGAACCCCTGCAGGTCTATGGCCAAGCCAAATGAACAGACGTCGGTGCTCGAGTATTTCGTTTAAACCCCTTTCACAACTATGATGCATGTGAGGGTTTTGATCACTTGCGATGTATCTTCCGATGATTGTATAAATTGGTATCAGCCGCAAACGCTCTACCGCAGGTCTCGCACTTGAACGGCTTCTCTCCGGTGTGAGTCCTTTCATGATTCGCCAAATGGGTTTTCTGAGTGAACGCCCTGCTGCACGTGTTGCGCCTGTACGGCTTCTCTCCGGTGTGAGTCCTCACATGCATCGTCAAATCGCATTTCTGATTAAACGCCCTGCTACACGTGTTGCACTTGAACGGCTTCTCTCCCGTGTGAGTCCTCTCATGACTCGTCAAATGGGTTTTCTGAGTGAACGCCCTGCTGCACGTGTTGCACCTGTACGGCTTCTCTCCGGTGTGAGTCCTCACATGCATCGTCAAATCGCATTTCTGAGTAAACGCCCTGCTACACGTGTTGCACTTGAACGGCTTCTCTCCCGTGTGAGTCCTCACATGCATCGTCAAATGGGTTTTCTGAGCAAAGGCCCTGCTGCACGTGTTGCACTTGAACGGCTTCTCTCCGGTGTGAGTTCGAACGTGAGCCTTCAAGGCAGCCTTATGCGTGAACGTTTTCTCGCAAACATCGCAACTGAAGGGCCTCTCTCCAGTGTGAGTCCTCTCGTGGATGGCGATACCCGCTGCAGAAGGACATGAGTAAGGACAGAAGCGGCACCGGTGCTTGTCCGGGTTTCGGTGCGTTTGCTGCTTTTGTGGGTTGGTGGGGGGAGAGGTGCCACCCCTGCGGCTGTCCTGGTCGAAGGTATCCACTTTGTCGCCAGAGTATGCTTCGATCAGGTCTGTTGGGATGACAGGACAAAGCAAGAAATGTCGGCGCTGTTTTTGTTGTTCTGAACATGGGAATTTTGAGTACCTAGATGAACATGGTCCAGAATACCTACATCATGCCGGTGCAGCCTAGAGTACGTATTCCTTCATTTGAGATGTTAAAAAGGTTCAATCGTAATGCTTGTAAAGGTCTATAGGCAATCGTTTAAGATTCCACTCTGGCAGCCCCATGCTGCGGCAGCTGGGGTGGCTTGCGCGTTCTCCTAACCAAGTGCGGAAGGAAAGTCAAGCCGCCGCGGCTGCTGCTGCACAGTGTTGGCGGTAACGTGTTACAAGTAACGTCGTTACCGGTAGCGCCTTTTTTCTTTCAGTAACGTAGTGACGTATTCATTAGTTTTCTAAATCTACAAATTTCCTAAATTTTTCCAATCTTTTCCCCACGAAAAAATTTCCGCTTTAGAAAAACCCCAACCAGCGCCTGTCATGTTAAAGTCGAAACACGCTGTCGCCAAAAGAAAACAAAAGTGCTGTTACCGTCAATTTATAAATAAAAAGTAACGCAAAAGTAACGTGCGTTACGTTCTGTCGGCGACAGTATCGCGTTCCTTTATTTCGCAAGTAACGTAGTTCTTTACTTTTTTACGGTAACGGCTACAACACTGCGGCTGCTTACCGCTGCCAGTACGAAGCGCCGGGTGATAGCGTGTTGACATTCATAATGATCGCGACTGTGTTTTAAGTGACGCTGGAAGGGTCACACACCCACAGATTATTAGGTTACACAAAATAGCATTCAATAAGCTCGTGGAACAGGGATGGGCAAAATACATGCAAATATGTATCGAAATACAAATACAAAATACTTCGTCAGAAATTTATTTAATTACAATTCTAATTACATTTCCAAAAAAGCATTTAAGTACAAGATACAAATACAGTCAAATGTATTTGGTCTCCTCCAAATACTTTTTCAAATACATTCCTCAAAATTTGCGTCAGCGACTTCAGGGCACCTGCAACGGGTTTCTGGTTATCTCATTTTAATTTTGCATCGCACACTCGGGAGTTAGTGTGCGAGGCTCTAGTAACGTAATAGAAATATAATCACAAAAAAATGTAATCAGCTTGGACGTAATGGGTTAAAAAAGTACAGAGCTTCAAGCAGAATTTTTTGTCGATTACATTTTGGTATAGACCAACAAAGAACAGAGACGACCAAGATGCGCAGCACTAGCTAGAGAATTTTTTATTGCTGCAACTCGCACCAGTTACCAAAATCTGGACGACCCGCGCATTTAGAATGTTCCAGGCAAAAATATGGATGGAAATCAGGCTGGAAAGCTTCACACGTTGTCACGGGCACTTATTAAGCCAGTCTGCCTGTGAACGTCGATTTCGTCAATATTCTTGCCCTGGACTAGCACCGTAATCACAAAGTCACTAAACGCTTATGCTTGATTGAGAGACACTGCATTTGGCGCAGAACGTAGTTTTCTTCCTGCTCTGGACAGTGACAATAAATTTGAGGGATGTATTTTCGCCCACAAAATTGTATTTAATTACAATTGTATTTGAAATACCCACGTTTTAATATTTAAATACACACTTCAAATACATTACCCAAATTGTAATTAAATACAAATGCAAAATACACAAAGTATTCAAAATACGTGTTTCAAATACTTGTACTTGAAATACTGCCCATCCCTGTCGCGGAATGATCGTTGTGCACCTTAGAAACTTGAAAAATCGCTAAGGTACACAGTAATTATTTTACGAGTGATTTGAAGCAGCAAAAAACGCGGTTCTATATCGACAGTGATGTGGACATTTGCCAGCCTAGAGCTAAACTTCTAAAGCAGGGGTGGCCAGGCTGACCCGGCCTAAGAGCCGCAAACGAAACCCCCAAACTTCCAAGAGCCGCAGGGGGGGGGGGGGGGGGGCAGGCAAACTTTAGTCCAGTGCAGTAAACGAAACTCGAGCTACTTTCAATCAATCCAAGTCAAAAGCAGTCAGTAGCACAAGGCTACCAAACTGCAACCTGTCTTTCGATTTAAAACGCGGTCCGTTTCACTTTTTAGGGGGGGGGGGGGAGGGAGCCGCGAGCCGCACTTTAACACGTGAAGAGCCGCAGCTTGGCCACCCCTGTTCTAAAGCTCCAATCATTTGGAACAGCCAAACATATTTTGGGCTATTTCATGCGTCGAAAATTATTTATAGCATTTGTGAAAGCTACTCCATCAACCGGAACTGAAGAAAAAAATACAATTTTGTAATATAAATAAACAACTCGGCATGGTACATTTCTCTGATATCAAATACTATGTATGCGGTATATTTTTTCGGTTTGGTGCAGACCGCTAATTAAAACTTAATGAAGTTTCCACGTGGAGAAAACTTTGTGTACCACATCAGACTCCTTACGTTTTCCACCTTCTAAAAAACCGAGCCTACAAAAAGGTTTTCTATCCGTGTGGGACCGTTCATGAATCTGTGAGGGTGTGCTAAGAGGGTACGAGACTGTATGACTGTTTTCCCGTGTGCTTCTTCTCATACCTGGTGTTGTTAGTTCCGTGGGCACCATAAGATTGGCGGCAGAGGTCGCACCGCCGTCCGTCCTCCCCTCCTGGTCCATCTTCAATGGTTGCCTCTGCAATTCGGCTCCTTGGAAGGAGAGCTCCGCCCCCTTGTCCTCGTAGTCCGTTCTCTGCCATTCGGAGTCGGATGCTACGTGGGCAAGTTCTGTTAGGAGTGAAAATCAAATTTTGTTTTGTTCATTTTTTATACTATACCAATACAGAAGCTCAATCACAACGAAACTTAAAGGGACACTCAAGCGGTTTTCGGAGAAGCTACTTTTTGGTGCGATGGTGTTAAGGAAGTGTCAGTGAATGAGTATCTTCAGTTTTAGAAGGCAGAAACGCCTATTAATCACGCAGGAATAAAATACGTGCGGACTCTTTTCTGTACTTGCGAGGACCAATGAAATTATCGTTGTTTGAAAATTTTGGCGGTCTTTTTAAAGTTTCGCTAAAAAAACAATTTTCAGTTCATTTAAATATGTTGTGCATGATAATTTCACGAGACGTAAAATATTTCTAGTTTAGAATACGCGATAGCTCAATTATCGTTTCACAAACAAGGGACTACGTTTTCTATTTGCCTTCCTCCGCGGGGGGTGAATTTCCCGTTCCCCAGGGATGCGCGGAAGCGCACGTATCTCCGCGCGTTGCAGGCCGGTCGTGCCGTTCGCGGGCCGGCCGGCTCCTTCTATCCGCAAACGTGGCGACGGTGGTGATCGTCGGGATGGACGGCCTGGTGAAAGCTCATCGTTCCGCGTAAAAGCGCTATCCTTGACTGTGAATTTTCGTCGTGTTTCGCTATGATAACCCAGCACCTACTAGAAGGGAACATCCACCTACTCGTGCGGCGATGTCGTGGCGGCACTCTCAAGATAACAGAAACGCCCGTGCCGTCGTGTTTGTTTACTTCGACTACAGTGGTGCTTTCTAAGCATTTGTCCTCGAACATCGCCCGGATTTCTGATTTGGCGCATTTCATGCGTGTGCTCAAGTTCAGGGTATTACTGGCGCGTACCGTATAAAGGATACGAATTTTCACGCGTTTTCATTACCGGAGAAAAGTGATTAGTGTTAGCAATCCTGAACGCTCGCAACGTCTATCTCATCACGAAATCATATTTCTACGTTGCTATATCGCTGCTAAGATTACATTGTCTTTTATAATCGTAGAAAAGGCGTGTGGCGATATTTGTACTATTGCAATGTCGTGTATTAGAGTCGTGATCGTCCAAGACGGCGCTGCATCTTTTTATTTTATTTTTTTCATTCGCTGTACCCTCCAAGCCTATCAATAAAAAATAATGAAGCTTTAGACTAGAAAACTGTCTGTCTATATTCTGGTACGGCATTGAGTAGCAGTGCGTCCCCTTTTTTAGAGAGGCCGCTGACACAGCTGACGGCGGCGTACAGAAGCGGTCGCCGTGGTGACGACCCGCTGCGCTTGTAGTGGTTACAGGTGTGTGTACGCGCGGCGCAGTGCGGTCGTTCCGGTTGCAACGGACGCAGTCGTAGGTACGCGCTCGTTGCACATGTCTGAACCAGCCTTCCCCCCGTTCTCCCGAGGCGAAAGTCAACGTGGCGACATCGTTTGACATCACGCACCAGAGGTAACGCTGCGATGTCAAACGTTGGTTTGGTTACGACTTGCCCCAACCGCAAATCGAAGAACGCCCGAAAAGGTCTGCGTTTCGTCGTCCTCGGAACCCGAACATGACTCCGAAGCGCTGCTATCGTCCACATCGCATGTCGGAGTGCCGTCATAGGAAATCATCCCCAGGTCGGCTGTCCGCCGAAGAACTTCAACCTCTAACGGCGTCAGGTCCTCGAGCGTAGAGAACTCCGCCATGATCGAAGCTCGAATGACAAAGAGGTTCGGCCGATGCTCCTACCTCGGGATCACTGCGCGACGGAACGTCGTCCAACGCCATTGGCCCGAGATCCTTTCGATAAGCGTGCGACGACCAATGAGAGTGGTTTCGTTTTCGGATGGATCCGAGGTTTGGCGGCCTTCAATTACATTTTTATTAAAGAAATAATCACCGTATGACCATACTTTTTGGTTTTTAGGGATACTTAAGGCGTCTAAATTCAGCTGCCATTATCAAAACACGAACTCAAAAACCACTTGACTGCCCCTTTAAGGAACAAGCAAACATAAACACATCATGCTGATGAAGTAGAGAAATTCAGGGGTTTACATTGATATGGCGGTGTAATTCAAAAAGTAAAATAATAATATCACGATCAAACACCCGCACCATAACTTGATACTGAATACACCGAAAACGTCGACTGTAAAAATGCACGTGAATCAAACATAAAAGCGATCCTTCTCTATAAATACGTGCTTCGAAG